ATATTCAAATGTAATCCCCTTTGTAATCGTTAACATTTTCATAAGTAACTGTAATTTAATTACACATTTTTTCTTGGTAACTGTAACTGATTACAGTTACATTTATTTTGTAATTAAATTACGTAACGCCGTTACATGTAACTAGTTACTCCCCAACACTGCTCATAGCATTATAACTGGAATGAAACAGTGACGACTAGCCGGTCTCTCCTAATAAAGTAGGCTATGTGACATTCAACACAACCAAATTAACAAGCCTCCACTCACACTGGTTTAGACTGTTTCTCGAGTTCAAACCCCGTATGTTGTCCAGTCGAGCTGCTTTCATGTAGTTCACCTCTGGCACCACTAGAGCCTGCAAAACGACAGCTCACCAATCTCAGGACCGCTTTCCAGCATGAGGGAACTGCTCAAACAATGAGAGTCTGTAGTCAGCCTGCGGTAAGCCAGCCTCTCCGGACTAACCCCGTACGCGCTCGGACTGCTGACAATCCACCGCGCGGATAACGCCAGGCCAGGCGCGCTGCAACGACACTTTCATTTACTTTGTTTGGGAATCACCACAAGGAACCGTAAACAGCGTCTTAAATGACAAGGATGGGAAGTGCTCGTACACAGCCTGAACTCTCTGGAAGTTTGCGGATTTCTGCCTCCAAGTAAATGGATTATAATTGCGTGTATTATTTGTCAGCTGACTGGAACCCTTGGTTTAGGGTATGACCGGCTAATAACCGCATGCATTAGCGAGATTGCGTTTTTTACTTGCTGCAGGACTGTGTTCAGCCTTCTGATAGCACACTGTGGATTTGTTACACCTTGCATGGAGTTGAATGAGCGCACGCTGCGATTTTGGCAAGCTGCAAGACACCCCAGTGCACTGGAAAGTAATAATGCATAGTGTTGTAATAATGTTGCGATATACTGCATAGGCACTCAAAAAATTAAGTTGTGGATCCGGAAAAGCACATTTTAATTTCATAATGGATGCTACCCAAACATACCTTTTGGATACGGGCTGTAAAAGGAATAGAAACGTTCGTAATTTCGCGTTCTTCCATTGAGTTTGTATAGGTTACTCAGATAAGTACTCAGATAAAATTCCATTTTGCTATAAGAAATTCAATATGTTTACGTAATGTAAAAATAACCATATTTAGCGCACAGTTCCCGAAATCGTTTTATTAACTGTGCACTAAACTAATTAATAATGGCACAGTTATTTTTTTTCCCCTCAACCGTACACTAAACTTAATTTGTAACAACTTTTAAAAATCGTTTCTTTTTGTAACGGTACGCACTTTAAGGACCCCAGTGCACTGGAAAGTAATAATGCATAGTGTTGTAATAATGTTGCGATATACTGCATAGGCACTCAAAAAATTAAGTTGTGGATCCGGAAAGCACATTTTAATTTCATAATGGATGCTACTGAACATACCTTTTGGATACGGGCTGTAAAAGGAATAGAAACGTTCGTAATTTCGCGTTCTTCCATTGAGTTTGCATAGGTTACTCAGATAAGTACTCAGATAAAATTCCATTTTGCTATAAGAAATTCAATATGTTTACGTAATGTAAAAATAACCATATTTAGCGCACAGTTCCCGAAATCGTTTTATTAACTGTGCACTAAACTAATTAATAATGGCACAGTTATTTTTTTTCCCCTCAACCGTACACTAAACTTAATTTGTAACAACTTTTAAAAATCGTTTCTTTTTGTAACGGTACGCACTTTAAGGAAGACTCTAGGACTGTGTTCCAGCATGTTTAAGTAACAATTCAAACAACGTTGCACTAGGAACGCTTTCTCTTGTGCCAACTTTAATCAAACCCAAGCATTATATATGGACGTTAAATTGATGTTCTTTAAAACCGTGTGGTCTTAACATTGCCTTGCTAACATTTTTGGATCTAGCCTAAGCATCTGGGATCTATATCCTTTTTCAAGATTTTGTCAAGGCAAGCATGTAATATTGCTTTAGATGGTTTGCTGAATATACCAGATCAACTGCTTACAAAAGTTTAGTGAAAGGATAATCAGTTTTAGAAAAAACATGCTCAACCAAATGCTTGAGATGTCCATTGATGGTAGAAGTGCACATTCAGTTCTGCATTAATATCACTGATTTGCACAGAAATTGATAATTTTATTTATATATAAAACATTTTATATACCATTAAAAACATATTATTATGACAGATGAGGCATTTATCAAGCTATCACAGCACTATTCCTGATAACAGCTATAGTGTCTATAGTATGTTTGCAGAATCTGTGCTTTCCAGGGTAATTTTGATTGAGACAATTTGATTTATTCTGCATTAAAATAAGTGAAAAAAAATGTTAGTTTTGTTAAAAACTTTGTTTTTATTGCCCACATAAACTGAACAAATGCATAATTTCCCCTTGTTTTTCTGGGTGTGACCATTAAAGGGTTAACGAAGAGGGTAACTGAAGATCATGGGAGAGGCGGCTCCGACCCAGGCCACCCCAAGTGGTTTTGCACCCATGTTGGGCGTCGGGATGGGAGGATCAGTCACACCAATCGCCACTTCAAGAGGATCAGCCGTTCCTCAGCTCCACAGTGCCATAGTGGAACGCTTGCGTGCCAGAATAGAGCTGTGCCGGCGCCATCACTCCACCTGCGAGGACCGCTATGTGCGCGGTCTGGCGGAAAGTTCGGACCGGGAACACGAGAGCACACTCCATTACTTAAACATCGTCCATCAGGGCCCCGTGAACAGGAAGACCAAGGGCAATAGATCGGCCTCTCAGCAGCCTCCTGAATACAGCAGAGTGAATGGGCAACATAAAGCCCACAGTTCATCGGAGGCGGAATCCAAAATTTCTTCGCAAATAGCAGTAAGTTTTATGGGTTGTATTAACTACGCCCACATAATAAATCTTATAATCTGTCTAATGCACATGGGGACACATGTCAGACCAATTCCCCAGAGAATGGCATCAACACACTGATATGATGTGATTACTGTGGGTGGGTGAGGGAGAGATGGGGGCGTCTGTTTAATTAAAAAGGGCCCTGCAGGCAGGCACATGCTTCTTTAAAGGTCTTTTAAAAATATAGCAAAAGAAAATATAACTTAAAAAGAGGTGGCGATTCAGTGAAATTAGATTTTTCAACAATGCAGATGTCCATTATACAGTACGGTCCCTCCATTTTCACTCATAAGTCACACTGGAAAATTATAGAATGCCATTGCATTGGATAAAATATCAAACCACATGGAATTTAATTTAAAGAAAGATATAGAATACACACACGTTTCAAGCAAAACATTTCACAAAAAGAAGTTTGCATGGCTTTAAGCAGTTATGAATTCGTGTATTAGTGTGATATTTTGCTATCTATTGATATGGATATTTATTTTTAAAGGAATAATTCACCCATAAATTACACTGTTTAAAATTTTGAAATGAGTTTGTTTCTTCATCGGAACAGATTTGGAGAAATGTAACGTAATGAAATCACTCGCTCATCAATGTGTGCTCTGCAGTGAGTGGGTGCCGTCAGAATGCGAGTCCAAACAGCTGATAAAAACATCACAAAAATCCACAAGAAGGACTCATCCACACTTGTATGGCACCATTTTATACAAGTGAATGCATATTTTCATAATTATTGAAAATATTTCTTAGTATAGAAAAAAACAAAAAAAACTATGTTTTGTACTGTAGCCTCAGCTTTTGTAACTGAGGGAAACACTTGCGGTCAACAGGTCAGTTGTGGTTCTTTGTTCTCCACCCTTATATTTGGTTTTGTCACCACTTGAGGTTGATGCATCTACAGTATTTAGTATCTCTGCTCATAGACACTGATGAGTGCTTTACTGTAATTCTGAAACCCTCGGTTAAGATAACACATTTTGTAGGCATTTAGGTAAAAAGCATGCTAGACATAGAATAAAAGCAAAGAAGCAAAATTATGTCTAGTTTATTATAGAGATAGTCTTGCAAAATGCAAAATCATAAGGTAAGGCATCAGGTTTTCCTTTCAGCTGTGTACACCAATATCTATCCAACAAAACAAAGGCACAAGCAGAAATTGCTGGATGATGAAATCTCGCAAACACTTTGTGAATGGCTTCGTGTTTTGTTCCATACCATGCATTGTCATGCTCTATTATAAACCCTCGGTTAAGAGAACACATTTTGTAGGCATTTAGGTAAAAAGCATGCTAGACATAGAATAAAAACAAAGAAGCAAAATTATGTCTAGTTTATTATAGAGATAGTCTTGCAAAATGCAAAATCATAAGGTAAGGCATCAGGTTTTCCTTTCAGCTGTGTACACCAATATCTATCCAACAAAACAAAGGCACAAGCAGAAATTGCTGGATGATGAAATCTCGCAAACACTTTGTGAATGGCTTCGTGTTTTGTTCCATACCATGCATTGTCATGCTCTATTATCAAAGGTTTGATAAATTGCTCTCAAAGCACCTTCTTGAATGATGGCTTTCCCATAAAGCCATTTGAAGCGTGCAGTCTGCATATAAATGTTTAGAGCTATTCAATACATGTCCTGGTTCTGTTTACTCGAAGTCAAACAGGCCTTGAAAACACGATTGTCAGAGGACTGCCCAGTAATTAAGTGTTATGGGCTTATGGATGAATTAGTTTTTTCCTAATTTCAGAGTTATGACCAACTTGGGAACATAGCAGGATTGTGGAATATCCTCTCAAGGAAGAGAAAGGGGGATATTATGAATGCTATGTTTGCTTATCTAAAGAGATCAGCCTCAGTTAAGCCCAGTTTATGTCAATTGAACAATGTTCAGTCATAGTCTTTAATGATATACTGTTCATTCAGTACTTCACAATTAAGTTTCATCAGTCCCCTTGTGAAAGAGAAGTGCATTGTATTGAATGTGCACTTTTTTTTTAGCTTACTTCAAATCTTCAAATCAAAAGTATATTTAAAAAAACTGTACTTGCAGATATTAATATTAATGAAATAAAATGCGACTTAAGTGCACTTAAACAGAGGCACTTTCATGACAATGTTTCTAAAACACACTTAAATGCACTTTTTTAAAAAGTGCAATGTAATAATATCAAATTAAAGTTTTACTTTGTAATTTTAAATAATTATGTTAATAATCTTTTGTCATGCTTTAAAGAATTAAACTTATTTTGGTGTGTTAACGAACTCCACTAAAGCACTTAATTTCAACTATAGTGTTTTATTCAATATTACATTTAATATATTCTACTAAATTGCAACTTCATCACTACAAATGTGACAAAAAATATAAATATATTTACAATCTTAATATTTTTGTTCACTATTAATGCCGGTCAGTACATTTGGCAGTACACTTTCTTTATTACATATTGTTTAAAGATGTACTTAAGTCCTGCTTAAATGAATAAAAAACACTCACTTTAGCTAATTGAATTAAATATGAATTTAAACAATAATGCATTTGAATTTAAATGCAGTTAATATGCAGTTATGTGTCTGGAAACATTCAATTCTATTTGCACTAAAGTATATTCTTAAGTACCCTTTTTAAAAGTATACTAAAGTGTATTTTCTTTTAACTAGAGAAACTATAAAAATTTAAAGCAACAGTTCACCCAGAAGTGAAAATTCCGTCATCATTTGCTGAAATCCATGTCGTTCCAAACCTGATTGACTTTCTTTCTTTCGTGGAACACATCAATTTACTTTTTTTGATTTGACTTTGACTGTGAATTTTGGACAAAAACATTGGAAAATTCTTCAAAATATCTTATGTGTTTCACGGAAGTGAAATGTAAGTTTGGAAAAATAAAAATGCTTCACAGCGATGCCATAGAAGAACCATTTTTGGTTCCACAAAGAAGCATTCAGTCAAAGGTTCTTTAAAGAATCATCTCTTTCTTACCTTTTTATAATCTGAAGAACCTTCTTTCACCACAAAGAAGCTTTTGTGAAACAGAAAGGTTCTTCAGATGTTAAAGGTTCTTTATGGAACCATTTAGACAAAAAGGTTATTCTATGGCACCGTGAAGCACCTTTATTTTTAAGAGTGTACTTAGCAACCAATGGTTTAGGACAGAAATGAGAATATTCCAAAAATATGTCTGTTTGTAACTTCTTAAGCCGA